AATATTTATTTTTTAGTTTTCGGGGGACACAACCTCTTTGTTTGTATGTGGTGCTGAGGATTGAACCCGGGCCGAACGCATGCCAGGCGAGCGCCACATCCCCAGCCCTGAGTACAATCTTTAAAATAAATAAAGGATCGATTAAGAAAAGTGACATCCATAAATCCTCCTCCAGCTTCTGAAAACTTACCAGTGGACAATCCCAAACTCCTGAAACCGGTCCGGCCTCCCCTGATGGTTTCAGCTGCGCATCCCAGCGTTTAGCCTGCAGCCTTTACAACTAGGCTCTCCTGCTGTGCCACATTCTTAGCTCTCCATCCCAGGCAGGAGTTTATCCCCCAGGAAAGGGGTATCTCTCAGAAACATCCTTAGTTGGGGAGGGGGGTCTCTCTCAGGGACACTTCAGAACCATCCAATTAAAAGAATCATTTGAAATTGCACATTATTTTCAAATTATACCTGGTAGTGGAAGTGAAAGATCCTCCTTAAAAATGTCATGATCCTCTTTTATTTGCGCTCATTGTCTGGATTAAGAAATAAAATACCTACCGTAGGAGTGGTGGAGGAAAACCAGTGACAGACCTGGAGACCCTCTGACCACATCTATAGATTCAGGAACTGAGTAGAGGTGAAGCCAAATCAGCCAGCTAGAGCTGGTTTGATACTCAGGTGGGAACTTGGGCTTTAGGATCAAAGTGCATAAGGATCTGGACTAGAGTTCACCAGATCTGTGAGCCCAGATCTTTAGGAAAATAGGTAGCTCTGCCCTCAATAGAGTTGAAGTGAAGATGAATGGGATTATTTATGTAAAATGACTGGTGTTCCATGTGGATGAATTTCATGCCTTTTCAGTCACACTTCCAGCTTCCTACATCTTGTTCCTGGCTCTCTGTCCACTGAGTCTTCCCTGAGTCTATCTCCACCCCTTTCTTTACCCACCTTCTGGTCTGTAAAATGAATAAGGGTGCTCTTGAGTTTTGGGGTGATCTTTACACATGGAGATGATCATAGATTTTCTAGGACAGGCCCACTTTTCAAGTCTTCATCAATGAGTTCCAAGTTGGGATAGAAAATATAAACATTATATCGTTAGAGTATCTGTGGCAACAGGAACTGAAAATATATGACTCCTAGTCTGGATGATTGTAGAACTAATCAGCAAGTTCCTGGAGAATTTAGCACCAGGAGAGACACGGATGGAATTTTAGAGGATATGGCTGAATGAGAGAGTCATTGCTGGTAAAGACAACTTCCAGTCACCTCCTTGCAGCCAGGCTGAAGGCTTCAGATTCTTTGGACTTGGGCTAGGCATTTTGGTCTTTCTCCTCCTCTTTTTTCACCATCACAAAATAGCTTTTCCACAGATAGGGGAATCATCATTTCCTTCTCCTGGTACCAAGGAGGAAATGTTCCTGGATACATGTCAACTTATCAGGACAACAGAGGTCTAAAGGACCCTAGGCTCTAGAGTACTCTCTATGTGGAGAGAAGTACAAAGAAGCTTTAGTTTGCTTTGAGTTTGTTTGCTTTTTATTTGCCATACATTTTATTTTAAATGCAGTATACATGACTGGGGATTCCCCTCCAAAACTTTTTATTATAAATTTTTTCAACTATACAGAAATTTTTAAAAGGCAAAAACAATTCAATGAACCATATATTCACATCCCCCATTAACATTTCCCTCTATTTCTTTGTCCCAAGTTGGGTTTTTTTTTGTTTGTTTGTTTGTTTGTTTGTTTTGCCCCTGTAGGATCCTTCTCCTAATTGTGTAGGTTAGTCTTTGCTTTTCGAAGACACTATTTGCCACCTGTGCTTATATAGAGCTTCTCATTACAGTCGTACTTCAACACTTTCAAACAGATGCTACCATTATACCCATTTTTATAGATGGGATGTGGGCATATACCTGCATAAGGTCAACCATCAAATTGACTCCAGAGCCTTACTTGTTGACTCACTACTTGATACTGCCTCACATTTAAACTCAATCTCACTTAGACTCTACAACATCCCTGGTTTCAATTATAGAGTTCAAAGCTGAGATTCAGGGCCTAAAGGAGATTCTTGACAGGGAGAATGATGGTGTGACAACTGTAGCACCATAGAAACCAAGCAAGCTTCTATCTCAATTCCCAGCCCAGTTTTCCTATCTATAACATGAATCCTTATGACTGGAAGTAAGGACCATGCTTACTTTGCTTTTGTGGAGCTGGGGATTGAATCCAAGGCCTTGTGCATGTGAGGCAAGCACTTTACCAACTGAGCTATACCCCTAGTCCCTAATGAATGGTGAACACTGAGTAAATAACTGTGTGGCAACTATTTTGGGAACAGATTTTGTTGAGAATGGTTAAAAACCTATAAATTGGAGAAGCTTAGCAGTGTGGCTAAGGGTGGTACTCTGGACTCAGATCACCAGCCTTCAAGTCCTTTCTGTGTGCCAGTGTAATCCTCTGAAAACTGGGATAGTAGACTGCTTGAAACAACCATTAGATGATCAAAATAACTAATGATAAACAGTGCCTAGTAAATCACAAGCACTCTATATAACCTTCACTACTATAATCCAGTCATTACCTTGAGCTCACATGTAGCAGCATTAATGAGGTGGCTACAAGGAAATGGGCTCAATAGCCCCAACAGCCCGCAAAGCCTTCCTTTTCAACATCTGTTGGTAGATGTAGGATTCTATACTGAAATATTTCTTGCTTTTTGCCCTCTGCTAGTGTGCCTACATGGTTTCCCACCTCTGCCATCACATTCACTAGCAAGTGCAACCTATAGCCCCTCTGCACATCACAGACTTTTGTGGGTTCTACTCTGTCTCACACCCCAGCACACCCTTTGTAACCCTGGGTTGCACAGTCCTCATGCTCCTAACACAAGAGTCACAGAATTCAAGCAGACAAGTGACCCTGATTTGTCTTATCATTGGAACAGTGGCATCCCAAACCTTGCCAGATGGGTTTCACAGAGATGCTAACTCCAAAGTGAATGAGTGGGAGGAGAGCATCCCTGGAACAGTTTCAGCTGCCCCATTCTGAGGCTGACTTCACCTTCCTTCCCCAGGACAGACAGGGCAATAGCAGCATTCAGATTAAAAAAAAAAAAA